CTTAGTCCTACGGCTCTCACCTCCCTCCTTGGGATTTGGAGCCGAGCCAGGCGCCGTTCTCTGATCGTCTGTGCTCTCCGCCATTCGTGGCAGGACCATGGACGAAAGTGCAAGTAGTCCGTAAACCGGTCAAAAAATAATTTTCGCTGAAATTTCGGCTATGGGGGTTATCGAGGGTCCTGATCACGAATATGATATTCATTTTTGGCGCTGGCGCCAATTGGCGCCATTTGGCGCCAGGTGGCGCCACGACTGATTCCCACTAAATTCGCTGTAAACTTCTGTATAGGGGTTATTTGGGGTCCTGATTACGAATATGACATTCGTTTTTGTTGTTAGCGCTATTCGGCGCCTATTTCCTGCTCGTCTGCGCCCTCGCACTAATTAGATCGCAATCAGGACTAAGCCTTTGAATAGTGGAGGGCTCCAAGTGTAACACACTCCAACTTTTGCCACACGGTGCGTGGTTTACCCACTCCGGAGTTTCACTCCCCTCCCCTAAGCTTAGTCTTAGGCGCCATAGGTGAGAAAGCTTAGAAAAGCAGAAAATATGCGTTAAACAGCACGAATGTCAAAAACCAGTGTCATATTCGTGATCAGGGCCCCAAATAACCCCTATACAGAAGTTTACAGCGAATTTGGTGATAATCAGTGTGGCGCCTGGCGCCAAATGGCGCCAATTTGGCGCCAGCGCCAAAAATGGATGTCATATTCGTGATCAGGACCCTCGATAACCCCCATAGCAAAAGTTTCAGCGAAAATTATTTTTTGACCCATCTCACCCCCACTGGGGTTGTAATAGTGCAATAGTGCCTAGTATTTTATTAATTTACTGTTCCGTGGAAAAAGAAAAAGTGAGACAAGGCTGCTCTATTCTGTTAAGGGAGGGGGCATTGGGAGCAACATGCCCACTTATCAAAATAGGCCAATATCGGCAATAATAGTCCCAATTTTTACAAGGGAACGAATTTCAGGATATGTTTAAAGAGGGAAGCGAAACTTCTCATGCACTTGAGATTGCATTCCCTTCAAAAATTGGAGGTTACTGCTGCCATCACGAACTATTACACCATATGCTCCACTCCTTATTGGAACACGCCCTGAGGTTGTGTGGTGTACTTTGAATCGAGTGGTACTTTTAGTTGTCATATGTAGCCAACAAAATTGACGTTGGAAAGTTCAAGTAAATTCAATTCAAGTTCTCAGTCCTCATATTTGCTTGCATGGGTTTTCCGAGTTCCATGCTATCCTTACTATAGGTGTCAGACTTGGCTCCCAGACAATACCTAACCATTTGGGCGCGGCCGCGGCGAACGCGGCCGAGTCGATTGTGCCCGCGAACCGTTGAAAACGCACTCGAGGTGCCCGCGAACTGTGCTGTGCTGAGTTCGCGGGCACCTATCAACTCGGCCGCGTTCGCCGCGGCCGCGCCCAAATGGTTAGGTATTGTCTGGGAGCCGTCAGACTTCACGAGCCGATTGTTTGTAGTCAGTCTGATACCTATCTATAACGCCAGTAATTCTTGTCTATTGGTCGCTGATCGATTCGTTGAGCTTCGTGTTCTTTTCCCGTGCCATGCATTCTACCAGCGCGGATTCTGTATGCCATAATTTTTCTTATGGATGTTTCGATGTCATGACTAATGGGCAATTTTTATCGAAATTTCATCTGTTTTTGTCCTTCTATCGACTAGTTTCGAAATATTTGAGCTTTCAGCGTATGGGAGTCTCCATCGACTGGATAGATGTTTTGTTTCCGGTAGCTGCTGAGTTCTCGACTCTTCGAGCTGCCCCAAATGCTGCTCGCGATTCGTTGAGGGCGATACTGCTTCTTACCCTCTTTGCCCTTACCTTTGCAGCAGCTATGGTACGCAAATGCTAATTTTATTTCAATGGATTTCCACTATTGCGCCAACTTTGAGTCTTGCTCTTCCAGTTAGCTACTGTTTTGCGAGGCGATTGGGCTAGAAGCCATGTTACGTCATTCATTGCTTGTACGGGTGGTGGAGTGTTCCTCGCTACGTGCATGTTAGATCTATTACCAGGTCTGTTCTCCTCTGAATGCTGCATCCTTCGATTTTGTGGGCACCTATGAGGATCTCTTTCCAGACGCCATTGAATCATACGAGAAATCAGGATTCAAGTCGAGTTTCCCAGTCGCGGAAGCAGCTGTGGCGGGTGGGCTACTGATGGTTCTGACGATTGAACAGGTATGCTTGTACTATTTTATGGCAAGATTTTGGTACTTCTGTACGTCATCTCTTTCCTGGTGTAGCAATTTTTGGGCTTTTAATTAGTGTTGACCCTAGTACAGATACGGCAGGCTCTCTTTCGAGTCATAACCATGCATACGTAATCGGCTCAGTTTTTCATATGTGCTGACTTCTCATTGTATCACTCTTTTCCTTAGGTTGTTCTCGCTGTCCAAGAGCGTGGATGGATTAGGTCAGGTCATCTGCACCTCCACGATGAAGGAGAAAGCTCTCATGTCCAAGTACGTACTTTTCGATGTGGGAGTGAGATTTTTAGCCAATTTTATTGATTTTTCACAAATATTCAGGATGTATCTCACTCGGATGATAGTGAAGAAGACGCGAATCCGATGTTGGGAGCGTGCCTTCTAGTGCTCGCATTGTCATTGCATGCGCTCTTTGAAGGTCTTTCATTAGCCGTCATAACTGATGCTTCTAAATTGCTGCAGGTTGGCAATTTTATTGACTCATTTCGGTGGGCTAAACTAGATAAAAGCTTACATTCAGGTTTTCGCTGCCTCTTATACTTCACAAAAGTATAATAGGATTTAGTCTTGGCGTACGCCTTGTGCAAAGTGGCATGCGCACCCCATGGGTCGCTCTTTGTGCATCCATATTTAGTATACAGGTAAGTGCGGTTTCGCACATGTTAAAGAAAAGGCAGACTATTGTTGATCAGTTTTTGTGAGACTTTGCTGGACTTATGAAGGTATACATTAGGTACTAATCGGTGGGCTAGGTGGAATGGAAATTATGTCTATGATTTCTGGTGGCGATCGATCAACAGCCGCCCTTGTTTCTACTATACTTCAAGGTCAGTTATAAGTAATTGGACTTCATTTCGAATGTGATTAAATAAAAATTTCGGCATATTCCACAATTACTGCCCCAAAATAAATTTTATTTTCCGTTCTAATTTCGCCATAGAGGTAAATCGATGCCCTTGATTACGAATATGACATTCGTTTTTTCGACACTGGCGCCAGTTGGCGCCACCTTGTCACGACGGCTGTTTTCACCAAATTCGGTGTAAACTTGTGTATAGGGTTATTTGGTGTCCTGATTACGAATATGACATTCGTTTTTGGAATTATTGCTGTGTAACGCATATTTTTGCGTTCTCCTGGGCTTTCTAACTAGTGTATAATGCTTAAGGGTAAGTCTTTCGGGAAAGGGGACTCCGGCCTAGGCAATTTGCACATCGTATGACAAAAGATGAAGCGTGTGAGATCACAGGATGAGTGGTTTACTCACCTCCAGCCCTCCTTCTTTCCAAAGGCTTAGTCCTGATTGCGATCTAATTAGTGCGAGGGCGCAGACGAGCAGGAAATAGGCGCCGAATAGCGCCAGCAACAAAAATAATGTCGTATCTGTAATCACTGATCGGATTTTTTCTACAGGCAAAGTTTCGACGAAAAATAAAATTTTGAGATTTTGGGACAGTACTAATAGTGGAATAGGACCGAAATTTCAAACACCAACTTACCTTTTCATTTAGGATTTGCCTGTGGAACTTTCCTTTATATAACAACCTTCGAAGTTCTGCCGCACGAATTGCGAAAGGCTGGTAATCGAATTTCCAAGCTGTTTTGTTTATTTCTTGGTGTGTCACTTATTGCAGGTTACATGATCCTCTTTCCTGAAGCTGATTAATTTAATGATTTTGGCTTTCCTATTGCTTTATCCTATGCGCAAAGGTTGCAGTTATTAGTACCTCTTCCTTGGTATGCCGCCTTACTTTTCACTTTGTGCTGAAATCGGTGCTCAAATCGCAACTGTCAACCTATGCCCCACTTTTTCCTTTTATATTCATTGTTTTACTCTAACATATAGTATCTTACTC